AATAATCACTTTATATAGAATATTTATAATAAATTGATGGCCGATATATCACGGAAATAAAATATAATTATTTAAAATTTAAAAATAAACTTTTTAACTTATCATGAATAAGATTATACATACAAAGCTATTGTCAGTAAAAGTTATGATAAAATCATAATAAACAGTAAGCACAACTAAGTAATGACATTTTATCATAAATTATAATTCTTTTATTAATGTTAGGATAATTTTTGAATTTTTACTGATTTAGGCATTTGGTAAATAACTGTGATTATCCAAAATATGATTTTGAAACTTTTTTATGTAGTCATTTTACTTGTCTTGTTTTCCAATTTTTTGATTAGGCCAGTCAAAGCTATTTCTTTGTCGAACTTATCAACAATCGATACCTCTATCAATAAAACTATAGGTATTAATAGTAATTAAATATTTTTACTTCACGCTAATTTAGTTTTATAATATTTCGAATTAAAATAACATTATAATAGTAAGGGACCTTATAATATAAGGTATATATATAAAATATTATTGTATTATCTTATTATATATACCTTATACCTTTTATTACCTACGTTAATATAAAACATATAAAATAAAACTTTATGATAAATGAGCCATGTTTCAGTCTTATTTTCATCACTTGGATAAAAAAAGAATATAAGAATCACAAAATACTTTGTGATTATTATACTATTCTAGTATGTTAATGTAAATATTTACTAATCAAATATTTTTACCTGATAATGTTATTAATATTATAGTGTTTTAACTAGTATATTGTAAAAAAAGACTTATAATGATTAGATACATAGCGTGGTGCACTTATACATGTACACTCTTACCAGTGTACATTAAAAAAAAAAAGTGTGCAAAAAAATATGAACAATTCAGAATGTATATATCAATACAAAATTTTTTTTTGAGAAACTTATACTATTGTGGGCATGTTATATTTCGATTTAAAGATAAGTCATCACTGTATAGTATGTACGAAACAAATGTAAACAACATTTTCCTTATTGAAAAGATAATTGAATTACTAACATGTCTTTTGAATTTTTTGCAATTCAAAAATTAATTTTACTTCGTCTTTTTGAACAACTCCACTGGCTTAGAATAGTTAACATTATCATCTCCAAAAATTTAAAAAATCATTTCCGTATATTTCTGCACGCTTGAGTACATTCATTACGGTAAGTTACAAATTAATAAGTTTTTTGGGTCGCATTATATTATTGTCACGAATACAAATGCGTATGTGTTTTATATGTTACTATATTTTCTCTGGTCAATCAAACTCAGACGAAATCGTGTGCATACTGTCCTGTAATACAACAGTGGTTATGTGATATAACGTATTTTAATGGTGAATAATAAATATCAAAATAATACACAACTAATTGCAGTGCAATGCGTTTCGAGACGAGTCGCGGATATGCGTATCTCTTCGAGTCGTGTGAAAATCACATACTTATACGCCATGAAAATATATTTTTTCGCAACTGCAGCAATAACGCATACATCATTACATCAATTAAGATGAAACACACACACATATATATATATATACGTGTTTATATGTGTAGCTCTTATAGATATATAATATTTATGTAGTATCCACTAATGCAATGAAGACTTGCCAGCTTGATTAGGATATGGGTGTTATAGGGTGTTTGAACATATCGTTGGCTAGGTATAAAAAGTGAGTGTTGAAAAACTTCAAGTTTTTTCGTATAGTTATAATATTAAAATTAAACTAGGCATAAAATATTGTAATCTGTCATCCAATTCACTGTAGTTAAAATTGTACACTTTACAAATTATAATGATAGTTTTAATACTAATCTGTATATATTTGAAAAATTTCTGCAGGTAGACCATCTTTTTAACTCGTTAAAAATAAATATAGATTTTTTTAATTTTACTATGTTAATATTTAATTGTTGGAGTAGAGTATTAATTTTTCATTATATGCTTTTTTAAAACAAAACAGTGACAACGAAATTTATTTTCAACTATAGGTACAGTGTTTTTAAGAACTTGGAACTATTTCGTACCTCTTCTGATAGTTGATAGTTTTTAACTAGTCCACTTCTGTTAAATTGTGCACGGTCCAATTCAATAACTTATTATTAAAATTTCAAGAGCCAGAACATTTTCGTCCTAATTCGACGACGCGACTTGTTGTTTTTTAAATTCCGTAATTGGCAAAAAAATCACGCTGCATTCGGATGACTCATGATAACTACATTTTGTCCACTCTATGGCCACACTCCCACAAGAAAACCTCGCACGTTATTTGAAAGTATTATAATCGTCCGAAATATTTCGTGGTAAAAACTAAATAAATAAAAGTTTCAATTTGCGCACTGGCAGTCAAATGCGCCGACTGTAATTTATCATGATGATAGGTACCTGCAAAAAAAAAAAAAAAAATCTAAACAATAATATAGTGATATAATAGGTACCTATATACAACATCGTTTGGCCGTTGTAATATAATAATTTATCCGCGCGCATCTATATACGTGGGTATATATAATATATATATTATATAGGTACATGTCATATGCGTCCGAAGGCACTTAACGGTCGATTTTTTTTTTTATATATATATATATATATATGTATTTATTTATTTTTTTATTTTTTTTTTTAATAACTCGATAAAATGAATATTCATGTATGTGAATTTCACACGTCGTCGCGGACACTTATTCTCCGGATATACCTCTGTATGTTATGTAATGCGTGCGCGCAAACAACACTGCACAGACGTATAACGACTGTTATTATATATTTTATGCTACCTACCTATACTACTGCAGCAGTTAAGCCGCGAATAAACGCATAAATAACGTGAGTATATATAGGTATGCATTACTTACGTTTTATATACACGCGGCTATCATAAATCATCGGACGCGCACGGAGGAGTTTATTGCGTGCCTAAATATATATATATATTATATTTATTTTATATTATTGCACTGCCGCGATGTGTATATAATAATAGTTGGATGTAATTATAATATATATATATATTAGAATTTAAATGTCAACGACCCAAATTTAAAACACGCACGCGATGCGCCGCCGTTTCGCCGTGTGCGATTATAATAATATATTTGTCGGCGCTACTCGTGTTATATATTTTATCAACGTGTGTTTACGTGGGCTTATAATACGACGGCTTTCCCGTTCGCGACAGCTTTGGGCGATAGAAATATGATTAATACCGACGGTTATTTAAGTCAATAAAGATAAAAGATAATATAATATAATATGATTTATGTGTGCGATTTAACATCGACAAATTCAAATACATACACAATCGTTGAATCGGTTAACGCGCTTGATAGAATTCAGAAAGTATATGCGATATATCTATATGTCGATACGTCTATTAAAACATACTACTGATTTTAAAGTAAATACGATTTCGATATGACAAAACAAAAAAAAAAAATAGTTAATTATTATCAAATATTTTTTTTTTGTCCAATCATTGTTCGCAGTTAAATTTGTTTAGTTCCAGTTTTGTTTTTATTAATTACTATTATCTAACATGATGTATCAAACATAATATAATATACATATATATATATATCTTTTTTTATTGATCTCATAAGCCCGACAGGCGACAACTAACGCCCATCAGCTGTGAAAAGGTATAGTAGGTTTGAGTTATTGTAGGATTTTTTGGATTATCAGAAACGTGCACGTATGTGTGTGCCATGGATTCATCGTTAAGAACTCGGGTTAGAGAAAAAAACTTAATTTTAATTGATGACAGACACTATTACAACTATTGTGTTAATTATATAAAAAAAAAAAAATATTAGAACTTATATCGCACTGCACACGCCACATACTCAATACTGGTTATGAGATTAAGTAAAAGTCCATGATTCATCTGACGCGTATTATGCATTGCAGTAATAATGGATATATATTAAACAATATAATATTGTATATATAATATATATAAACTTACGTGAGATTTCTGCACATTGTTGTTTGAAAGTGTATTGACGGCGCAAGGAATGCATTTTCGGTAAATATATATATATTTAAAAATTGTCCAGTAAAAAATAAAAAAATAAAATAAAACTGTACCTATAATGGCTTAAATTGAACCCAATTTCTGGTGGTGTAGAGAAGACATATATTCTCAATCTATGACTTCCGACACATCAATAATCCAACTTCCTAAGTAAAATCTTTCCTAATTAACTATATATTTTCCCATATATTTCTTTAAACAATAAATAAATTTGGTTACCATAGTTAATAATCTAATTATTTATGGCGGTTACACAATTTTTGAATATAGATAGGGATAATAATTTAATTAATAAGGTCTAATACATGAACGAAAATTACAATTTTGTATCTGTTTATTACACAAAAAAAGATAGTTATTAAATTAAAAATAATATCATAGGTATACAAACTTTATTTCAATGATTTTCTGGTGGTGCAAAAATATACCTTTGCACCACTATATTTTAGATGTGATGGTGCAAGTATAGTGCAGTATTATCGTAAAAACACAGGGAGTGGGGATGAAGGAAATGCTCTGGATTCAAAATAAGTAACTGATTACTAATCACGTGAATCTTAATTCACGTTAAAATCCAAGAGCTGTACTAGAAACTATCGGAGTATTCTAAATATATTAAAAATAAAATTCTACGTGTATAATAATATAAACGAATGTATTAGTGAAAACGGATTCACGTGAAATAAAGATCTCTGTTAAGAATATATAATATAAACAAACAATAATATCGTAATTATTAGTTTTATATAAATAAAATAAGTTGTTAAATAAATATTTTTACAACATTTCATAATTCAGCTAAATTCGCATCGCCCAAGGAAAAAAATGACCGTCTAATTTTAAAATTTATATTATGATATTATATTACATTCGTGTACCCAATATTTATGTATTATATGATGTTTGTTTAATTGCTGAATTTTGTTTTCAGTCCGTTCGATTCCATTAGTCTAACAACATTACAGTTCTACACAGTCTCATAGAACCGCGACAACGGAACCAGACATAATGCAAAAGCGGCTTCACGACCGACGAATATATAGTTATTAAGAATATGATAGTATTAGATGGATTTTTATTTTTATTATTATTATTGTAATTTATTTTTTGTTGATACCCGTGGTGAACATTTATGACAACTTGTAATGAAAAACGATCTGCAAACCTTGGCACTGGAAGAATTCACAGACTATAATTATTGAAGATCGTGAGTCTCCTGGTGTCAACTATTGCGGATCGATAACACTACGATTGTTGAATGTATTAATCATATATTACTATATAGTTTCACGCACTTAATATACTATATATTATTTGAATACCTATTGTAAACACTAAACGTATATATAAGGTTGAGTAAGTTAAACAGTTTATTGCGTTTAATCTGTCTAGTTAAAAGTTGTATAATTTTTTTATTTAAGTAATGTATAACTTAATCATAATATTATTAACCTAATGCTGTAAACTTAGTTTTAATTTTCAACTCGTGAATACGCCTGTAGTCTAGAAATGCTAGCATATAGGTTAAATAAATAAGTTTTAAGTTAACTTAAGCTATTAAACTTTATGAATTACTGTTACTTAGATGTAATATCAAATAAAATTTGTAACCATTTTTTAAATTCAAATATATTCACTGTAAATTTATCCGTATCTCTCTATAGTTATGCTCAAATCAAACAATAATTCATAATTTTTTTCTTATATATATATTACATATTTAGATAATTATTTTGTTTAACCTTGAGAACCCTGTTCTCAAAAAGAAAAGAACATTAACACTTATCAAAAATGCATCACACTACTTGCGGGTGTGTCTGTCTTATAAATGTACTGAACAACATAATAAATTTGTGTTCAGATGTTTCAATTTTGTACCTAAATAGTACCTATATAAGATTCAATAATGAACTAAATTTCTCTATTATTAAACTTATAAGTAAAAACATTTATTTGTGTTTTCTCGTGGGTATTTTTACACTATTTTAATTTTTAAACAAAATACAAAATTAGTGTGTAAAAATTACGATTTAAAAATGATTCTCATATAACTCCATAAAATTATTGTAAAAACCTATAAGAAAATACGCACCATATACCTAATATACGATTTTTTCATCATTTGTTTCTTGCAGATATATGATATATTTTACTTATTTTAAACACTGAACCTGGAGTGAAAATTCAATTACTCAGTTTTCATTGCGTTTTAGTATCAGTTTCAAACCCCATCACGAACTACATCGAATACAATTCTGCCTTCGATTTATGCAACCGTATATTATATGTGATATCCAAATTTAATAATAAGTAATTATAATAATATTTATACTATGTAAAAATTATGTCAATCATGAGAAATATTACTGTAGGTATTTATTTTATGAAACAGACAATTTTAAGTTTTTCATAACTCCATCAGAAAATTTTCAATTTACGTCATTGAAATTCGTTAAAATTACCTATAAATAAAAAAAATAGTAATTATGACCAACACTATAACATGGTGGGCTTAAATGTATATTGATATAAGTAACTATCTATATTCTATATGGGAATGAAGAGTGTGCCAATTTTTACGCATAAGTTCGTGTACCTATACCTGCATTTACTTTCAATACCATTCGTTAATAAATATAACAACAAATATTGATTTTTCATTCCTGCAACTGAATGGATAAACTTTTGATTAATCTAATAATTTATTTTACTCACTTAGTACAGTCGACAAAATTAAAATTGTATTTTACTGTTATATTTATGTATGTAACTAAATAAGTACATATTAATTCTATATTCATGAGTGTTATTTATAAAGAATTAATTTGTGTTTAAAATCAGTAGCAAACAAATCAAACAATCAAACAAATTTCGTCAAAAACAATTTTTTTTTTAACTTTGTAAAAAAAAATACAAATTTTTTGAAATACATACTGCAATACAATATAAGCTGTATAAAAATCTACAGTGATCGCAAAAATGCATAGGAAATAGTACTTTTCAATTGTTGCATATTCACTCGAACGTAATTTATAAAGAAACATAGAGTAACTATAAATTTATATAGTTATTAGTTAGTCGATTTTTCAAAGGTTTATTGAATAAAAAACGTTAAACGTTCAGCTTTTTAACAGCTACGTGGTTTGTATTTTGTATATAAAATACGTACCTACTATAAATACATATTTCCATTGCATTGCGGTGCGGTTAAGACATTAATGATATTAATAATGATACTATAGTACTTATAGTTTAATGTTTTCATTTAAATTTGTATCTTTTGTGTAGATGTTTTGTAAACCATAAGAACCGATAATGGTTGAAACGTGTTTGTTTTTCAAATAAAAATATGATATATCCACCTCCAATCACTGATAGTTTGCTTGAAGACCGCTATGTAAACGCTTTGAGCATGCTTTGACCAATGTTTAGTTTACTTAAATGTGTATAGAAGTGTTTCCACACACACGTAGATGTTATGATTTCTATTCACGTTTTTCTATTAAAGTAAAAAAAAAA